AGATCCAGTAGGCTAAACTCCAAAGGACGCTGGCCAAGCTGCGTTGGAGAAAATAGCTGGGAAGCGTTCTGGTGGTTTGAATCAGTGGAGCACAAGCCTAAATTTCAAATGGGAGCATGGTTAAAGAGGGCTTCTTTTTCCTGTGGGGCCAAATCAATGTGTCCGCCCTCGCCTACCTTGTGGTCTTGCATTCATGGTCTGTGCCGTGCTGGATGTCATACAAATGGCACTTCCCCACATAGTTAAAGGCAGTAGTACGTGACACACAGTTTCTCTGCGGATCTTTGGAAATAAAAGAAGTTGAGTTTAGGTTTCCCGGATTTGTCATAAAAACCTAAAGCCTGTGTGTCCGATTTTGAATTCAACGCGGGTTCCGCGTTGAAAAATTCAACGCGCGTTGAATTCGCGTTAAACTCCCGTTCAAACGTGAATTAACGAGGTTCGGGATGATTTTTTTCTTGGGCTAAAAATTATCCAAAAATAAAAATAAAAAATATGGGGTTGTAGGTTTTTTTAAGGACTACAACCCTGTATTTTTATGTTTATTTTTTGATGCTTAAATATATTTTTTAAAAATCAAAAACATAAACACGCAATGAAAAAATAAAAACTAAAATGAAATGAATGTTTTTGTTTTGGGTTTCACACAGATTTTTTAAGGGCTAAAACAAAAACAAAAAAAACAAATAAAAAATATAGGGTTGTAGATCTTTCAAAGATGTACAACAATTTATTTTTTAGTTTATTTTTTTGGAACTTCGTGTATTTAAAAAAAAATCAAAACCATAAAAGCAAATTAAAAGAAGGAAAAAAAGACACACACACACAAAATTGGGCCTGTAGCAGGTTGCATGAGTCTGGCGTCACTTGGTTGAGGGAACCCAGGCCCTGGGCCGCCTGTGTGAATGTATGGAAAGCAGGCCCTGGGCTGGATATGGGTACTGGGCCAAACACAGGCCAAAGGCAGTTGGGGGCATGCAACCACCTCAGGCCCAAGGCCTGTTCTCGTTCGTGCCATGCCTCAGGCTACCGGGGCCTATTGGAAGCTTCTTGGGACTGAACACAGGCAGGCCACTTCGATATAGCAAAGCGCCTGCCTCCACATTGGGCATTCGGGTGCTGGCTGCATGCTGCGTAAGCGCTGCCGCGCTGTAGCTCGCTGGCACTCACGCGCTCACATGCGAGCAGGAAGGAGCAGGCAGCCATAGCCGAGCTGCGCTGCTGTAAGCTGGGTGTGGCGCAGGGTGGTCCTTGGGTGCAAGTGGCATCTGTGTGTTGGGGAACGAGGTTGTGAGTAAGGCGAGACACACTCTCACGCGCAGGCACAGACACACTTACACTTGCACACACACACACTTACAAACACACACATACACAAACACACTTACAAACACACACATACACAAACACACATACACANTACAAACACACACATACACAAACACACATACACATACACACACACACTTACAAACACACACATACACTTACAAGCACAGACACACACACACACACACGTACAAACACACACATAGACAAACACACGCGCATACATTCATATTCATGCACAGACACACTCTCACGCGCAGGCACACACATACACAGATAAGCGCACACACAGCACACCTACACACACATAACTGGGGTGTTGGGGGTTGGGGGGATTCTTTGTTTTTTTTTTTTGTTTTTTTTTTTGCCTAGGGCCACGTGTTTCGGACCGTGCGCATCAATTTCGATTTTTCGAAAAGAGCGGGAGCGACCATTTTCGTGTTTAACGCGGATTCAACGGGATTTTTTTGAATTTAACGGGATTCAACGGGAGCTTAATTCCCCCGTTCTGCGTTAAAAAGATACACAACCTAAAGCTGCCAGGCGGTGAATCGCTTTCGGCATATAAACGAGTAAAGTGACTGACCTGCTCGTTGAACACGTATAATTCGACGTTTCTCATTGTATGTTCGTCGATATTGGAAGGCCACGAAGTGGGTTCCTGGAGGAGGGAAAAAAAACTGATTGCTGGGGGTAGTCATACAAATGGCACGTCCCCACATGACCCCTCTATGCACCCATCAAATTTGAATGTAAACGGCCTGAGCAGAAGCTGGGGGTATTTTCTTATGTGTGGGAACCTTCACAGACCCCTTCTTTTCTTTTTGGAATTACCGAACGAGTATAAGGGTCACTGCAACACTCCAGGGTGATGTCCCACTAGCAAAGAGGATGGGATTTAAACCAGTACATCTTGAGAATCACAAATGGGCCTCTCAGAGAAGTTCCGGGCTTCGGAACAGGGAGCGCCTGGGGGCAGGCCGAAATTGTTTTTTGTTCGGTGCCACGCCTGGTCCCATCCCAAGGTGTGGGATAATTTTTTTTTCCAACCCGCCTGCTGGGCGGCCCTGTCGTGAGCATCTGAAATTTTTGGAGATGCTCATTTGTGATTCTCAATTTGGCTGGGGCAATGTACTGGTGGTTTAACTCCTGACATCCAATTGTCCTTACGAGTGGGAGTGCACACCAGGAGACTCCCTTTTCGGGGAAAAAAAAGAAGAGAAGCAACCGATAGGTGCTGTGTGACCATTTCGCCTGCCAACGCACACAAACCACCAGATGCAATGATCGTCTCTTATTATAGTAGTATATATTTGCAATGTGGCAGCGCCTCCTATGTGAGAAGATAGTCAAATCGAATGATCCCTTGTACTTGCCTAGGAAACCTTTGATCGGGCCAGCTTGCCGAAATACGGCCGAATTCTGTACCGGAGTGAAACGATTTTCAACTTTTTGCAGTCACAGACGTGGGCCCTAGAGTTCATCTCCAGACCTTACCTTACCCATGTACAGTATCGAGTTGACCCCTGAGTGTTTGAACCTGCGACCTGTGTTTTGGTAGTTGGTTGTTGTTCGTCATAGGTTTGTGCAGATGTAGGGGTCGATCTGTAGATCTGTCGAGTAGAGGTTATAGATGTGTAGAGGTCGAAATGAAACGATTTTCACCTTTTGCAGTAGCAGACGCAGATCCTAGGGTTCGATCCCTACACCCCACCTTACCTGTGTAGACCCCGAGAGTTGAACCTGTGACCTGTGTATTCGTGAACAGTTGATAGGCTGTCATAGGTCCGTAGGTAGCAGGGGTTCGATTTGTAGATCTTTAGAAAATAAGTCTTAGCGAGTTCCAGAAGTCTTAGCTGTAGCCCTTCTAGAAGGTCAGCAAGTGGTGAGTCAAGTGGTGGACTAACTGCAGTGCAATTGCAGTACGACCTCGGTAGGTTAGAAGTGAGTCCCCCATTCAGTTGGCGGCAAGGTCCAGTCAGTCCCAGTCCGGTCCAGCAAGTACCACAAGGGACTGTGAGCACCATGGGCCGATGGAAAAGGGCATACCAACAAGTTTCAGAAGTATAAATCAAGAGGCAGCGCCCAACCTTTCATTCATTCCTGCGTGAGCTAGGCGGAAGCGCTGCCACAGCGACTTGTGCAAAGAGGTCGGCAGTGAGCCCGGAGCTGAAGTGGGCAAGAGAGGAGTGTAGCATAGCGATAGGGTAGAGGCGGACATAGCTGCCATAGGTAGAGTTAGTGTCTAGCGAGTGTGTGTGTGTGTGTGTGAGTTCAGAGAGTCGCGTGTGNGAGTGTGTGTGTGTGTGTGTGAGTTCAGAGAGTCGCGTGTGGGATATCCAGGGTGATCCGGTGTATGTGAACAGTGAGTTGTTTGGGCGCTGAGTCGCCATAGCCAATTGAAAGTGAACTCATATCTGGATTGCCATATCTCTGAGTTTTGAGTGGGCGCATGTCGCCAGTTTGCTGCGCTACTGTTTACATGCATGAAAAGTGTGAATGAAAGCGAGTCTGATTGCATTGGTATCGGAGCTGGTACCCACCATTCCACGCGTCGAGTTGTGTGTCGCAGGAGTGATGTGCCATAGTAGAGGTGACCACCGAGAGTCATAGTCCGCCATAGCGGACCTGAAGGTTGGAGAAGCCCGCCGGGCACCTGTAGAGAAGACCACGACGAAGAAGAAGACCGAGAAAGAGAGATAAAGAGAGATGAGCGATACAAGTTTGGTTGTCACTGACCTGTGAAGTGTGCCGAGCAGTCCCATGAAGAAGAAGATTGCGGCCATAGTCGCGAAGCTTGACCACGGAGTAAGGAAGGAGGGAGAGAGAGAGTGGACAGAGGGAGAGACCAAGAAGGGAGAGAGAAGCCATAGCCGAGGAGAGGAAGAGAGAGAGACGATCAAAAAAAAAAAAAAAAAAAAAAGAGAGAAGAAGAAGACAGCCGGGGTGAAAGGAGGCGAGGAAGGTGAAGAGAAGAGGGAGGTTGGTGAGGGAAAGAGAAGCTGGCAGCCATAGCCGACTAGAGGAGTTGATCGGGAGAGTTGACCATGCGCTGATCGGAGGTTGACCGGAGTTGACCGAGAGTTGACTGGAGGTGATCGGGGGTTGACTGCAGCGTTGACCGATGTTGACCAAAACCGTTGACCAAGGTGTTGACCACGAGTTGACCAAGCTGGAGCTGGTATAATCTCGCCAAGCCTTCAGGCTATCCCTCGCCCTATGGATGTGCACACACCCTGTGGTACTTGCTGAGTCCAGTCTGTCTGTCTCTTCTTTCTGTATTGAGTCTCTTCTGTCCAGGTGATAGAACTCTGTGGATGAAGGATAGGGCCTTGTTGACCAAACACACACGGGCTGAGTAGGGCTAAAGACTGTGTCTGACGACTCGACTGTCCCGGAGGCCTAACCCTCCCAAGGACCGGTACTGACCGGCAGGCTGCTCCGTGTGGCACGGTAGGCCCAAAATCCGAGTTGTGGGCTGCACAACAGGCCGTCTAAGTGTTGAGAGACCTGCTGATCGCGTCGTCTTGTCTGCGACGTTAAATAATTCCTAAGGAGTTACGGGGGATCTCCTTAAATGCCTCCTGATCAGCAACAGGTCTAGTAGTGACAGCCATAGTGTAGGACTAGGCTAGAGACCCTAGTTGGTAGGATCCCTGTTCGGATTCTGTGAGTCTTAGATTGAGTCAATAGGTTTGTCAGTCAGGGGTTAGAGTCTACGTGGTGAGGTTTGGAACCGTAATCCGGTTGTGCACTATCACCATGGTTGACACCCGGAGTGGGTTGAGTACTAGCCCCTACACCCAGGAGCAACAAGAGAAGATGGCCGCCTTAGTGAGAGAGAATAAGGAGAGGAAAGAGGTCCTGAAACAGGCGAAGCTGAAGGCAATCGCAGAGGAGCAGGCGGCGAAAATGAAGGAATTGGAGGAGGAGATGGAGAAAAAGAAGAAGGCTGTTGAAGAGGAAGCGGCAACAGAGGCAGAGGAGGAGAGAAAACGCATGGAAGAAAAAGGAGAGAGTAGTGGCAGGACAAATGAGGAGGTAGCCATGGAGAAGAAGATCAGTGGGTGGATTGCTAATTTATCGTTGGGGGAAGATGAGGAGGCAGAGTTTTATGTGCCCCAGGACGAGAGGGATGCGTTAGCCAGTGAGTTAGCAGCAATGGAGGACCCCTTGGGAAGACAAGAAAGAGAGGAGGAGAAAAAGTTGGAGTGGAAATTGAGAATGAAGAGGGAAAAGAAGAGAAGGAGGGATGAAGTTAATAGGTTGACCGCAGAGGTGGCGAAGGTGAAAGATTGCAGGCAGGAGGTGTAGGCTCAGGCAGACACCTCGGTCAAAATGGATAAGGTGTTGGGGTACCTGGAGGTGTTGAGCGCGGCTTGCATGGAGGAACGCCAAGCCAATAGGGATCAAGAGGAGTGCCATGCGGTTAGGATTCAGGGATTTTGCGCGCGACCTAGTCACCCACGTTGGAGGAGAAGTCAAGGGGTTGAGAGACAACATGGGGAAGTTCTTTGATGGCGCCATTGAGGGTGCCAAAGCAGTAGCCGCCGTCGAGAGTGAGGGCAGACCCCGTAAGGACCCAATTAAGCTTAAATTCCTCATCGCCTTCCAGGCCCTTAAGGATGAAGCGGCTAGTTTTGCCAGGTTCCTAGTGCGCGCAGCCGGTTGTGAAAACAACCTGGTTGCATATTCCAAGGTACCCCCTTCCTCACTTCTTCAAGCTCCTGAGGGAGCGATTTGCTGACCCAACGAGAGGCGTTAGAGCCTCTGACAAGCTACAAACTATCCACTCGCGATAGTGGAGGTGTGCAAGGGCACTCAAGGGCGTCATGGACGACTTAGTAGCTGTCCCAGACCATGGGGTCACTGAGCCCCAGTTGGTCCAGTTATTCTATCGTGCCATGCCAGAGCCCTTGTGTGGGCATTTCTTTGATAAGTCTCAACAGGCCGACATCACCTATGATGTGTTGAGCAGAGAAGTGGTCCTGTTTGAGTCGAAGTCCATGCCAGTGTCCACTTTCTAGCACAAGGACCTGGATAAGGGGAAGAAGTGGAAAGGCCATACCATCTCTGGCAAAGTTAGGGCCAAGGATCATATGATCCTCACGTTAGAAGAAGGTGGTACAGATGAAGTCCCCTACAGTGAGATTGAGTGGGGGTTAGAGGAGGATGACAGCAGCGTAGGGCAGGGGAGGTCTTATGCGGCTGTCGCGGCTGGAGGGAGGCCGCAAGGTAGAGGAGGAGGCCAGGGCCAAAGGGGCCAGGCTATGGGAGGTCGAGGACCGGGCGCACAGGGGGTTGGCGGACAAGGGAACCGCCAAGTGGGAGGTAGGGGTCAAGGTCCCCCGTCGAATTGTCAGGGTTCTTGTTGGTCCCCACAATGACGAGGTGGAAGGCCACCTCAAGGAGGATGGGACCCAGGCTTGCCACAGGGCAGGCCCTGGGAAGATTTGGTCTTGGACCAGCGCGTATGGCAGGAACGCGTGGACTTGGGTCAGTGCGTATTTTGTGGTGACCCGGCCCATGGAATTAAATTTTGTCCTCAGTTCAAACAGACCCGGTGGGCTGCTCAGCAGCCAAAGGCAGCCGCCAGTAGGGGTGGCAACTGCACCTACTTGAGGCCATGTGGGGCAGCAAGCGCGTGCACACAGGAAACTCCCAAACTACATGAGCCTATGGCAGAGGTTGCAGGCCCGTGCATAGCTAGCTGTCTAGAGACTGCTTGTGTTAGCGTCTCTCTAGGCACGTCCCTCACAGGTGTGGCAGAAGAGCTGAAGGAGAGGATGCCAGCCTGGGCCAAAATGAAGAAGGAGAGTAAGGAACAACTGATCTTGGTAGATGTAGAAGTGTTTAGAAGCAGAGTAGGGTCCCTTATAGACTCAGGGGCCATCCGCAGTTACATTAATCGTAGGGCACTGAAAAAGCTGAAGCTAGGATTAAAAGTCCAAAAGTTAGCAAACCCCATAGTCAGTGTCCTCGCAGACAACCGCACGATGCGAGTTGAGGACTACGTAGAGGGAGTCCAAGCGTACTTTCGCCTAGAGAAAGATGGGAAGGTGGAAAAAGTTCTCCATTCCCTTACTCTCCTCGTTCAGGATGACCTTCCTTTCGACATAGTGTTAGGAATGGATTGGGGAGAGGCAGCTGGGGCCACACTCCACTTAAGAGAGCATGAGCGTAGGCTCCCTAGTCCGTCAAGCGAGGTTAAGACTGCCCGCCTGTTTCATGTGTCAGGTGTAGATTTCACCTTGGCACATTGCTGTCTCAGTGCTCCCGCGTTCGCGCGACTAGTGAAAAAGGAGCAGTTAGAGGATCAGGTCTTCGTAGTATATGTGAGGCCTGTCACTGAGGCTAAGGAAGGAGATAGTTCCACATACCCGACCATTGCCAAGCTGCTGACTGAGTCGCCGAAAGGAGTAGTGCCGCGACCCATCCAGCACAGGATAGAGATAGAGCCTGGCAGTAGGACTCCTAAGGGAGCAGTCTATAGGATGTCCCCTAGAGAGTTAGAGGAGCTACGCAAGCTGTTAGACGAGCTCCTCGAGAAAGGTTGGATCAGGCCCAGTTCGTCTCCTTTTGGAGCACCAGTCCTGTTTGTTCCCAAGAAGGAAGGAGAGCTTCGTATGTGTATAGACTATAGGGGTTTGAATGCGATTACTGTGAAAAATGCTGAACTGCTGCCCAGGATGGACGATCTTTTAGATCGGGTGCAGGGTTGTAAGTATTTCTCTAAGATAGATTTGAAGTCCGGATATCATCAGATAGAGGTCCATCCTGATGACCAGTACAAGACTGCTTTCCGGACTAGATATGGGCATTATGAGTTCATAGTGATGCCCTTTGGACTAACCAACGCGCCAGCTACCTTTCAGCGTTGTATGAATGATCTGTTTAGACCTTGGTTAGATAAGTTTGTAGTAGTTTATCTAGATGATATATTAGTTTTCAGCAGGACCCTCCAAGAGCTTCAGGGTCATTTGGGGCAAGTCTTGGCGAAGCTGCGAGAAGCTAACTTCAAGATTAACGCGAAGAAGTGCGAGTGGGCCAAGACACAGGTTTTGTACTTGGGCCACGTGTTAGACGGAGATGGCATTAAGCCAGAGGACAACAAGATAGCGGCAATTAAGGACTGGCCGACGCCCCGCACGTTGACTGAGTTGCCGTCGTTCTTAGGCCTAGCTAACTACTATAGGAAGTTCGTGAGGAACTTCTCCACTATCGTCGCTCCCTTGCGCAGGTTGCTAAAGAAAGAGGCAATCTGGCAATGGGACAAAGACTGTACGTTTGCGCTAAAGAAGTTAAAGCGCGCATTGATAGAGTACCCCGTCCTCAAAGTAGCTGATCCGTCTTTGCCATTTCTCGTGACCACGGACGCAAGTCAGTATGGTATAGGCGCCGTGTTACAGCAGGACAACGGCAATGGCTACAGACCCGTAGAGTTCATGTCAGCAAGGATGCCCTCAGAGAAGGTTGCCACCTCGATGTATGAGAGGGAACTCTACGCTCTCAGGCAGGCCTTAAAACACTGGAAGCATTACCTGCTTGGGAGGCACTTCAAAGTATACTCAGACCACGAAACTCTTAGATGGTTAAAGACCCAGGCCAAGATGACACCGAAGCTAACTAGGTGGGCCGCTGAGATAGACCAATATGACTTTGAGCTCAAACCGGTCAAAGGCAAGTACAACGTAGTTGCGGATGCTCTAAGTTGGAGATCAGACTACTTTGGAGCTATAGTACACTATCTGGACATAGGGAAGGACCTGCAAGAGAAAGTTAAATAGGCATATGCGCAGGACCCTATCTATAGTGACCTCCTCAAGAGAGTTAGGGAGGCCCCAGAGACTGAGCAGATTACCGCACTACAGAGGGGTTGTTATTTGAGAAGACTAATGTGGTAGACCGCCTGTGCATCCCCAACCGTGAGGAGATTCGTAGTCTGATCCTAGGGGAGCGCCATGATACAGAGGGGCACTTCGGTTGGCAGAAGACCTTAGCCAATCTCATGAGTACCTGGCCAGGGATGAAAGCTGACTGTATAGAGTATGTTCGCAGTTGCAAAGTTTGCCAGAGAAACAAGACCACTACGCGCGCCCCTCTAGGTCTTCTCAGACCCTTGCCTATTCCATACTACCCCGGAGACTCAGTCTCCATTGATTTCATGGATGCCAGTGTCAAGAGTAGACACGGCCAGAGCCAAGTCATGGTCATAGTTGACCAATTTAGCAAGTATGCTGTTTTTGTTCCCTTGCCTGCAGAGGTACGTACGGATTTAGTTATACGAAAGTTCTTTGATTTTTGGGTTAGTGAGAATGGAGTCCCATTGTCAATAGTTAGCGATAGAGATAGTCACTTCACCAGCCAGAACTGGCAAGAACTCATGGGAGTTTACGGATCTAAGTTGTTGATGTCGTCTGACCGCCACCCAGAGACCAACGGTCAGACTGAGCAAATGAATAAGATCCTACAGCAAGTTCTGCGCATGTACATTAGACCCGTCCAGATCAACTGGGATGAGATGTTACCTAAGGTAGCTAGCGCATACAATTACAGCGTGCATCTGTCCACGTGTCGCACTCCCAATGAGCTGCACAAGTCCCTTTAGACCGCGCAGACCATTCAAAGGACTGAACCGGGATCAGGTTCACAGGCTACCGCCCGGTACCAGGGAGTTTGCGATACAGCACGAGAAAGAATTAGCTACCGTTGAAGGCCCAGCACAGAATGATAGAACAGGCTAATAAGCATCATCGCCCATCGCAGTTTCAGGTAGGCGACTTAGTCTGGGTCAAGTCGAAAGAGTTTGCACCTGAGGAGCACATCTCGCAGAAGTTGCTACCTGCATATAGAGGACCGTGGCCGGTTCTAGAAGTCAAGGGCGGAGAGGATGGACCGTCCTACACAATAGAGATTCCAGCACACCTCCACACGTATCCAGTATTCCATGCCTCAAAGCTGTTGCCATGTGTCACCAGTCAACAGTTCCCTTCAAGAAGATCCATGATCCCGCCAGATGTGGATGGAAGATATGACATTGATGGCATTGTAGATGAAGATGTGTTCAGGACAGGAGGTAGAGGTCGTCCACAATAACAGTATAAGGTCCGGTTTGCTTATCAGGAACCGGAAGACGACCGCTGGTTTACTAGAACAGAACATCTAGAAACAGCTCCCGATATAGTCAGAGCCTATGAGCGTGATAAGAAAGGTAAAGGTCCTGCCTGGGACTAAGATATTCTCGGAGGACCTCAAATTTAGGACGGCGGGAGTAAAACGGTTTTCACCTTTTGCAGTAGCAGACGCAGATCCCAGGGTTCGATTCCTAGACCCCACCTGACCTGTGTACAGTACCTGTGTAGACCCCGAGAGTTGAACCTGTGACCTGTGTATTCGTAAACAGTTGATAGGCTGTCACAGGTCCGTACGTAGCAGGGGTTCGATCTGTAGATCTGTAGAATAGAAATCTTAGCGAGTTCCAGAAGTCTTAGCTGTAGCCCTTCTAGAAGGTCAGCAAGTGGGCAAGTGGGCGAGTGGTGAGTCAAGTGGTGGACTAACTGCAGTGCAATTGCAGTACGACCTCGGTAGGTTAGCAGTGAGTCCCCCATTCAGTCAGCGGTAAGGTCCAGTCAGTCCCAGTCCGGTCCAGCAAGTACCACAAGGGACTGTGAGCACCATGGGCCGATGGAAAAAGGCAGACCAACAAGTTTCAGAAGTATAAATCAAGAGGCAGCGCCCAACCTTTCATTCATTCCTGCGTGAGCCATGCGGAAGCGCTGCCACAGCGACTTGTGCAAAGAGGTCGGCAGTGAGCCCGGAGCTGAAGTGGACAAGAGAGAAGGAGCGTAGCATATAGCGATAGGGTAGAGGCGGACATAGCTGCCATAGGTAGAGTTAGTGTCTAGCGAGTGTGTGTGTGTGTGTGTGAGTTCAGAGAGTCGCGTGTGGGATATCCAGGGTGATCCGGTGTATGTGAACAGTGAGTTGTTTGGGCGCTGAGTTGCCATAGCCAATTGAAAGTGAACTCATATCTGGATTGCCATATCTCTGAGTTTTGAATGGGCGCATGTCGCCAGTTTGCTGCGCTACTGTTTACATGCATGAAAAGTGTGAATGAAAGCGAGTCTGATTGCAGAAACTGCTAGGCTAGAGGTCTGCAGATGCCCGTAGTCGAAGTGGGCTGTGAAGAAGACAGAGCGCCCATAGTAGTAGTGGTGAGCGGCCATAGCCGCTGTAGGTTAGACGTAGCTGATAGTGGGTGTGTGTGTGGGATACAGAGGGAGTGTGCGTGGGGTATTCAGGGTGATCCAGAGTTGAGAGAGTTGAGTGCGTGCGAACGGTGGTGTTGGACACAGTGACGAGAGTTGGGATGTACAGGCGCTGATGCGCCATAGCCTATTGAAGTGAAATTGCATCTGAACCGTGTTCTCGATTTCTATATCTCCGGGCTTTGAGTGGGCGCTCTGCGCCATTGTGAATCGCCATCTGTTTGCATGTATGCGAAGTGGAGAATAAAGCTAGTCTGATTGCAGGAGCGGTTATCAACCTTGACAGAGCCTGCGCTCAGTTGCTCTGCTTTCAACTTTTCACCATATATATCAGTGAACGAGAGGGGTGGATCTGGGAAGTAGGTGATATGAGCTTCCAACAGAGTGCAAGACATTTCCAATCAGAATTTGTATTGCTGCATCCCCTGTATGTCTCAGAGTAACCGTCCTTTGAAAATGGGAAATTTTTGAATATTGAATGCGTTCCCGCAACTTGACTGTTTTGGCTTGATGCAGAGGAAGTTGACAGATAGATGGATCTTGAGCGATTTGGTGCGAAGTTACGATGAGAGCAGAGATTCCCGCTCCGATGTGCTAGCGCAAGGCAAAGGGGACGGCTGGGGCAGGGAGAGCAGAGACCGTACGTTATGCAATCCCTTTCCTTCCCACTCGAGACATCCATATCTGTCTCCTGTACGCCTCCTGATTGTCAAGGGTTTATGGGGGCAGGGTTCTGGGTGTGCAACATGCTACTTACTGGATTGCTGGTGTTATTTGCATTTCTTGTGTGTTGGGTTGGGGGGGGGTTCTGCATGCAAGTGTCTGACCTTGTGGGTATTGAGTCCTCCTGTGTTTCTGTCTCTGCTTGTTGCCCATGGACGGACGGCTGTGCCTGTGAGTTTATGACCTGGGCAAGAGCAGTTTCAAATGAACGAAATATACTTAGACTTCATGCTGGTTATAACTTCATGTGCAAACAGGACTGCTATCGTAATCATACAGGAAAGCCTATGTCCAATCATCCATTTGGCTGTCCATAGTGCTGAATCATATGGGAATATGAATTTTTTTTGCACATGGCCAGGGAGTAAAGGCTGATAAATTATTGAGGATCTGTATTATTCTCTTTTCCCTTGAGTTTCTCAGCATCCTTGTTGTGGACATTATGCATGTCTTTGTTCGATTTCCTGTAGCGCCTCAGCTTGCACCCTAGTTTCTCCCCTGCTTGGGGGTTCGATTGTTTGTTGGTAATTTGTTGCCTATCGAGACATGAATTGTGCAAATTTTCCTGTCCATCTTTCGTTTGAAATGGGACTTTTTTTCTGTTGTGGAAACAGACCCTTGACTGTCACCTGACCATCAGACCCCATCTGGTCCTCCTGGCAACCCTCTCGGAGCTGTTGTTCTTACCTCTTACTGCCCTGTGGATTTGCTGCCCACTTTCTGCAGGGCTGAGAAGATCTGTGCCCGAGCTGTGGTTGGAGATTCCATTGAAGAGAAGATTTTGAAACAGAACCAGGATTGGGAGGCTGAAGGTTGGTTTACACTGTGGCAGGTCCCTTGTTCATGTCCTGCGCCTCGACCAATTTACCCATGTACCATGGTTGGGTTATATACCCCGCTGTGATTTCAACAGTCAACCCTGTAATTGCACTGCCCTTGTCAGGAAAAAACCTACTTGCTAAACATGCCGATCTGTAGCTCCCGGCAATGTGCTTGCTGCTAGCCCCTCTAGGACAAATCTCTTACTCTTCTTCGGCGATCGCCAACTCAGTTGACTCCCGAAAACACACTTCTTTCTGAAGAGTGTTGAAAGAGTGTTCTTGTGATAAGAACTCCTTTCACACGAACAGTGTCCCACTACAGACTGATTTTCCCCTTCACACCTGCATACAACCTCTTCTTTCTTGCACTCATCTTTCCTCTACCTGCACTCATGTCCCCATGCTTCTTTCTACACTTGCCTGTTTGCCAACCATATGCATACATGGTTGGACAGGCAACGTAACTCTATCTGGGACCTTCATGATGTTGGAAGTTGGTTGCTCTGAAGTGTTTTCCAATGGACTGAGCAAAATAGGACTGGCGGCGGACCAAGTCATCAGGGAAGTGGTCAAGCTAAGTTTGTTTGCTGTACCTTGGCTGCTCGCGAGGGAAGACTCTCACCATCAAGGTGTTGCTACCCACGCTGCTATGGGCAACAAGGACTCCACCTAGGGCACTGTCTGTTCGAGGGTGAGCAGTTCATCTCAGGTGCTGCATGCAAGATTGTGGGTAAGACACAGGCTTCTGAATTCCAGTTGCCATGCTCAGTCAGCAGCCCAAGCTGCGATATGCAACAACTGTCCCATTTCTCTAACTGACTTTCTTCCAGTAGCTCTTTGGGTAATCCGCTGGCAAATTCATCGACTGTAGTTGCTCTCCCTCCCTCCCTCCCTCTCTCTCTCTCTCTCTCTCTCTCTCTCTCTCTCTCTCTCTCTCTCTCTCTCTCTCTCTCTCTCTCTCTCTCTAGCTCTCTAGCTCTCTCTCTCTCTCTCTCACACACACACTCACACACACATGCACACAGACTGTTGCTCCCTCTTGGGCTTGCTCTCGCTCTGTATGCGCAGTGGGTGTGCATTGGGTGGAAAGTGTGGGCTCTCACTCTGTCTGCGCAGTGGGTGTGCATTGGGTGGAAAGTATGGGTTTTTGTCTTCTGACTGACGAGTTCTGCGTATTTGGACTTTGGTGAGCCTTAGCATCATCCCCCCGCCTTTTTTCTCCCCTATCTCTGAACGCTGCGGCTCACTGGGTGCAGTTTTCTGGATCTGGTTTACGACTGCTTGGTTGTCCCCAGCTTCCATTTTGTGTTAGACATAATGGAATCTGGGGTCACTGCGGTTCTTGTATTTCTACAATAATATCTTTGGTCGTGTCAAAACCATAACACCTTTTGGTAACCCCGAGGCGCCTTCACTGTTATGAAGACCTTGGTTTGTTGCACAACGTGATGCACCAGATGAAAGGGGGGAGAGGGGATAGCCGTTTCTTTTCTTTTCTTTTTTTTTGTAAGTGGATGGCCAGAGGGAATTTCACTGACCTCCTCCTACGGTCTCTGATTGTAATGTGCATCCGACGAGGAATGACATAAAAGATGAAGCAATATGTGGGGTTTTGTCTTGGCGGGAGCCTGGAGGTATGCCAGGCTGATGATCCAAACAGGTAAGTGAGGACTTCAAGCCGGTGGTCATTTTTAGGAATGGGAAATCTTGTCATATGGAGTGAGCCTCAAGGGAAAAGTTGTGAGTTTTCCACACTCTGGTAGGAGCACTTTCTGCACAAGTCTGCCTCCTCGTGTACATCGCGACAGATGTCGCATAGAATGAAGGCCTCTGCGGAAAGAGGCTGTCTTGTCATCTGGTGGTGTTATAGCTTTTTGTGGATAGGGAGGCAGCTTTGTGAGTAAACGAGCTTGCAGGTGAGAAGGGCAGCAGGTATCTGGTCGATTGTTTGGTTAGGAGGAAGGTTTCTGGGTGAAGGATGCCGTGTGCAAGGACATCAGGATCAAATATAGTTTGTCAGGAAAGAGAGAAGCTCCCGTCCGATGGCGGTTGCTGTCAACGGGTGTCCAGTTTTTTTGTTGATGAAATCTTGCAGATTGAGTGAAAGGCTAGCGGCAGAGAAGTATTTGGCAAGTCAACATGCTTTCATCTGCGGCTTGGGAATGAGGAAGCATGCCTGACTGGAAGAGGGACTGCGAGTAGGCAGACTCTGGTTATTGGGTGTGGAAATGAGGTACTCTTGAGTTTGTTGACGAGGCGGTGTAGATGTCTATTTTTCTGCAATGTATACTTAATGAGTGGATCTCAGCCAATGAGAGGAGAGGAGGTATGATGCATTCACATAGGAAGGATTTCAGACAAGTAGGAATGCTTGGATGGAGGGTGCAGAAGCATGCTCTCATCACGACTCGCATGTGTGGGTGAAGGAGGCTTGCTGCTCCACAGCATGTTTCTTCGATTGTGTGGCCTACTAGCTTTCTATTGAACAGCTTGTAGGTAGGGAAAAATGTCGCTGTTCGATGAACCTCTGGGATCGAGCTGTGTAGACTGGAAGAGATTCTGCGGAGGCAAAAGCTCGTGGGACGTAAGATAAGCAGGTATTGTGTTTGTTACGCAGATGCTTTGCTCGGAAGGCAAGCCTGTGGGAAAGGAAACATGCTTTTGATTGATAAGCTTGTGGATTTAGACCTACCGCGCTTGAGATTGGCGGAGTCTAGTCTTGGGAGAAAAAGGGCGTCTTTTTGCCAGATTGGTGCAATTTCATTCATGGCATTTGGACGAGGAATTGTGTGTGCTTGTAGATCCTGTTTGTTATATGCTTACATGCCTAAGAGCAGAGAAATTCGGATCAGCGAAAAAATCCGAAGCTCTGCTGTTGCAGCTCACCGACGTTTGAATTTGCTGCTGATCACTGCAGCTTGGTCAGGCAACCCTTAGACTTGGTGCTACTAGACTGGACAATCTCAAGGGAACTACTTGCAAGTATGTCAACTTATATGATCCTTCAGCCTTTGGTACGTTGGGCGTGTACACGGCCCACTTTGTGGAGATGGTATGCTTCAGTATGCAGGCTGTCAAGCCCTTCGGGCTTGGCTAGATTAGGCTTACCAAAAAAAAAAAAAGAAAAAAAAAAAAAGAAAAAAAAAAAAAGAGTTACCAGCCCTGCTGATTGGTGTTTTTTGAATTCGACATTCAATATTGCAATTTTCTTGTCGATTTGGTCCATTTTGTCATCGATGATTCTCCACAACTCGTCTTGCAACGAGCAGCTGTGTCATGTTCTTTAGTCCATAATCCTCGTGTCCTATGATATGCAACCAACTGTTTGATACCCCTTGCTGATGTTGACAGTATCTCTCCCCCCGCTAAAGTTTATCGGACGCGGGCTCCTTACGTGGATGCCGCGGGGGAATGCCGACCGAGGGATGTGTGATCTGCGGTTGTTGGCTTGCTTTAACTTTCTGCATGGTTGAAATGTCGGCACGTATGTGATTTTCCCACGATCGCGGCCAGCCCTCAGATGAAAGATTTGGAGACGTCCGATGTGAATTCTGACGCGGCTGTCGCGGCGCAGAAATGTGTTGCCGTTACTTTTGCTTCCTTTTGGGCCTCGCTACAGTACTCCCCGAATGTCCAAAATGAGAATGAATCGTCCCCTGGAACATGGCAAGGTACACCCCCGTAGTTGTTCTCTTTCTCTTTTTTGGTTTAGCTTTTTTTTTTTTTTTTTTTTTTTGTTGTTGTTTAGCTTTTTTTCGTTTTTGTGGTTTCGTTTCAAGGCCCCACACTGTTGGAAGCAGAGGGGTCGCCGTTCGGGGAAAAAACAAAGGAAACGTAGCTGGCCATCTGGATTTGCGGGGGCACACGACCAAAAAGGAAACCTACGCATGTACCTGGACTACCGGATGCACCTGCCTACGGACTTCCCCTATCCGGCCTACCCCACGCGGCCTACGGTAGCGTTGGCTACCGACCTGCGCTACCGGATGTACCTCCCGTAGGCGGCCTACCTGCACGATCTGCCCTACGCGACCTACGCTACGAGACCTACCTGCCCCTACCTCCCTCCCTCCCTCTCTCTCTCGCTCTCTCTCTCTCTCTCTCTCTCTCTCTCTCTCTCTCTCTCTCTCTCTCTCTCTCTCTCTCTCTGTGCTGCGTGCTTCGAGCTTTGGTGCTACTGTTTCTCTCTCTCTCTGCTACGTGAACCGCTGCTACGTGCTTCGGGCTTTGGTGCTACGTGCTTCGAGCTTTGGTGCCTCGTGCTTCGTCCTTTGTGATTGGTGCGTGGAGCTACGTGCTACGTGTGCAAGATTCTGCGAGCTACGTGCTACGTGTGCAAAATTCTACGTGCTACGTGTGCAAGATTCTACGTGCTACGTGTGCAAGATTCTACGTGCTACGTGTGCAAGATTCTACGAGCTACGTGCTTCGACTTTGTCCAACTCCTCTCTCTCTCTCTCGGTTCTAAGCGCTTTGGCACGACGTCCTTTTTACGAGCTATGTGCTACCCATTGGTGCAACTCTCTCTCCTCTCTGCTACGTGCCACGTGAACTTGGTGCTTCGTGCTTCTTGCTAGGTGAACTTGGTGCTTCGCGCTACGTGCTTTGAGTGCAACCACGAGTTGGTGCCCCTCTCCCTCTCCCTCCTTACGTGCTTCATGAACTTGGTGCGCCGCACTTCAAGAACTCGGACGTGCATTGGTGCTACTCAGCTTGAGGCTTTGTCATTCTTGGTTGGAGGCTTCGTCGAATTGGACGCCTGCGTCGACTGGCTCAATCAAGTGAGTCTTTCTGTCTTCCTCCCTTTCAACCCGTGCTTCCAGTACCCAAAACGATTCTCCTCATCGTCCCGCTCCCCCACCCGCACCCATTCGAGAGAGAGAGAGAGAGGCAGCGTCACGATTCTTCTTCTTCGGCCCATCGTACTCCATTCCTGTCTCGACCCATCTTCCTCGACCCTTGCTCATTCCTCCCTCGCCTTTTCCTGCCACCCAGCTCCCTTTCCTTCCTCCCTCCTACTTCCTCCGGTGGGCTTACCTTACCCCTCGGACCTACCTCCTTCGCTCTTTGCTCCCTTCTTTCTGCCCAATCTAGA